CTGATTGACAAAATTTTTTAATTAGTTTTCAGATCTACCTCTACTATGGAGTCATACCTTTAGTTGAGATCCACAATGAGATTTTGAAATGGAGCTTTTGTGTACGGGGAAAGAGTAAAGCAGGGCTGAAATGTGAATTCTTCAGCATTTTTACGCACACTATCTGGTAGAATTGCTGGTGATCAAGGGGAACTCCTCTCTCTTTTTGGAAAGCTATCCGAGAAGATTGGACAGACTGGCTCAAAACAAAAGGCTCCGCATGTATCTTGCACAGTGGCAATACTTATCTCGTCTTCATTAGGAAATACATTTAAAAATGCTAAAATATTCATATTCAGCCCTATTTAACTTACGGGCGCATGTAGTAGAGTTCAATTTAAAAACCTTTAATGTGTTCAGGTGGTTAAAGAGATACTTACATTAAATGAAGCAAACTTTAACAGGTGCCAAAAACTCTGATTTTCTGTGAAGGGTCCGTTAAACATGAGGGCATCGTATCTCTGAATGATGTCATAGAACTGTAAGTAATCCCCATTTAAGAAATTGCATTTTGTGTTATTTAGCAGATACATTCATTCTGCAAAATTTATCAATTTGACAGGACATCCTTGGTTTTAGCTCACCCAGTAGTTTTTATTTTTAAGTAGAATGGACCACTAGACAAGGTGCGAATTTAAGCATTTTATGATTTATGTTTTCTCATGGAATTTCACCCAGAAATTGATTTGCACAACAAAAATTAAGTAACTCTTAACAAGGATATCAATGTTTTTCTATGCATTAATTCAAACTTTCTGCTGATGAAAAAAACCATAATCTACTTGAATTAAATTAAACACTGAACATTACTGTAACAATCTATGCTGTGTAAAACTCTGGTATTCTCAATTTCGTCATTTTAGCTCAGCTGTTACTTGTTGTTTACACTTGGAGCAACAAGGGGCGGGAGAAAACTGTAGTGCACGATTTGAATCATATGAACTCTGATTTTTCTTATGAGCAGAAAATTTAAATTTTCTAACCAGTGATGAATAAAATCTTTCTAACCCTGGTCAGGAGTTAAATTCAGTGAGTTTTGATGAGCGAATTGTGTTTTGGGTGAAATATTGAAGAGGACACATATCAAAATGCTGATCCGTTCATTAACTTAAATATATCAGCAAATCTCTATTAAAATATATAGATAGTGATCTTGTTGCTCACTCAATTTTTGAGAATTTTTTCAGTAAAAGAGTGTATAGGGCTTGCAATGCTGCGAGGATTGTGCAATTTTTCACAGCGTTTGCGGCAGATGAAATTCCATCTCAGTCGACTTACTTCTCTACGATAGCGAAGAAAAACTCGGAGCAGATTCAGGTGGAAATTCACAGCAGAACTGCCGGATAAGTTATTTACAATTAGAGAGAGCTACGTTCCACAATCTGAGCAGCAATGGAAGTCCCATACGCCCTCTTACTGAAAGATGCCTCAATAGCAAAAGTAATTTACTGCATTGTACATATTCAAATTTCATGTACTTGCTTCTTGAGCTCCTATCCCAGACATTGACGGACAATAAAGAAATTAATAACATTGTTGGTAGAGAAATAGAAAATACATTTACATTTATTTACAAAAAGTAGGTACTGAAAAGGCACATTCGTAGAAAATGATAATTATACAAAGCACTACTTAAAGTCTAACTGAAACTTCTGCAAAAAGGGTGGATTCACTTTCATATTCCATACTTCTGAATAGATGAAGTGCAATAATTATAATAATGTAAGAGGGCTCCCTAAAAAGAAAAAGATTAAAAGTAAAATAAAATGGTCACATGATTGATCCAACTAATACTGATGCTACTGAAAGTCCTGAGATCATCGGAATCATCAGAGAAGTTGAGTGAGAGAAAAACAATTGATAGAAATTACAGCTGCAGAGGAGGATAATTTCTGAGTTCATACACTTTTAAAGATTCTGCTGACTTGAGCCCCATTTATACTATTCAACTTTTCATCAATTAAAAGCCAACGAAAAGTTGAATGTTGAAATGTACTAAATTTGATTCAACTGCTGTTGCCGTGTGATATCATCTAATGGAATTTGGGTACCTCCGTAGCTTTTGGTTTGAAAAAATACAGCTTCGGCTAATGTCGGTCAGAGGATTTTTCAAATTAGCAGAGCCAATGCGATAGAATGTTGAATGAAAAGTTGAAGGTGACATCACATTCAAGTTTCCATTCAACTTTTCATCAAATTGTTGTGTTATTGCCTCAGTCCCACTAGATTCAACTTCTCAACAACAAAAGAGGAAAAAGAGTTGCATGACAAGTTTAATTGTGTGAATTGGGCTTCAGACTGGAATGCGTTAAAGACAAAACATTCTTTGGGAAGCTTACTTTTATTACAGAGAGAGAATACGAAAACTTTAAATAATTTAAATAAGCAGAGAACTCCAACTCATGGTCTATGAGATGGTCATTTTGATTTTTTCAAATCCTTTTAAATAGGTACTTGTGAGCTGTTGCAATAACCATAGATTTAAGTGACCTAGTATGTGGGTAGAGGTAAAGGCAGTTAACACAAGTTCAGATCTATTAATTTCTAATAAGGCACTAATATTATTTTTTCAGAAGAGACCTTCAAGATCCTTGATGCACTGGGACTTAACGACTAAATTACATTCATATATCAGCCTTGCATCTCCTAAAATAGGGCACTTTCTTTTCACCATTTATAATGGCACACATTTAATGAAATTTTCATTTGTAAATGTACAATATACCTATGCTTTTGATAATACCTTTAAGCTTTTAAAATAAATTAATTTAGAAACAGCACCTTACGATGTACCATATCCGTTCTTTTCAACAATGTTCAACCTTGCTCAAATTTGGAAGAAACTAGATTCATGTTGAAAATTTGTTTGCTATGAGTGATATAATAAACATAATTATATTCGTAATGACATCCTGACAGCTGTAACGCATTAACAGAGCAATAAACACTTTCTGAAAATTCTTTCCAAAAATTACAATTCAGAGGTTTCACATTTATTATTCCACTTAAAGCTGAGTACAGAGGTTGATCTGACACATAAAAAATGCAAAATGGTTTTTCTTAGAAAATTTAGTGTCATGTTTCATCCTAAAATTAGTTTTTTAAGTATAAGGCAAAAATCTCAATCAAAGAAAAATTTCAATGCAAGAGAAGAGAGACAGAGTAAAAAAAGTCTGACTTAGAGATCTATGAAAATAATATTATATTAAAATAATTTTTTAATGAAACATTTTGTTAGCGTAAAAACAAAACCAAATTTTCCCCCGATGTGCTTAAGTCAATCAACGCATCGTAATGAAGACTGAGAATACATATTATAGACAAAAATGACCATGGCTGAAAATAGGTGGATCCATAAAATGGTTCAGTTTCATTAAATTTCATAGCGATAATTATTCTGGTCCAGAGATTGCCCCCTCTTTTACAAGTTTATTAAATAATATCCATATAAATCTCTGCATCGATAAATTCACCATGGCACTTCATAACTTACAGACTTTGATAGGATACTATTTTAATGTTTTTTTTTTGTCAAGCTCAAGGCCACTCTTTTCCCAGGTACTTGAAAGACCTTAGGAAATAGTTAAAGCACAATTTCACAGAATTCTACAAAAATAAAGGTTCAATAATATGAAAAGTTTGAAGAGGCATCAGGTAATACCCTAAAATTGTTATAACACGGCAATAATAACATCTTGTAGATAGAGAAATTATTGCAGAATCAAGTGCTTAATAAAGGCTTTGTCAAGGAAGTTTATATTCTCTCGATTTTGAAACAGAAAATAAAATTGTTACAACATTTTTTAGCTAGGATAGTGCAAAAAGTCAAGCTGATTGACGAATATATTGATGAAACCTTTCTCAATCAAATAATTAAACATGGATGGTTTTGTAAAAAAAATCTGACGGTTGACTGAAGACTAAGGATTACAGTTAGACATTTTTTAAGAACCTTAATTGACAATTTATAAAGAAAAAAGCTCTTGATTTTCCTAAACTTATAAAAAAGTATACAAATGGTACTATAAAAAATATTTAGTTCACTGAAAGATTTTTCATAAGTATATGAATAAAAAAAAATTGCACAGCCTGAGAATGAAGGTCGATGTATACAAAAATAACCACCAATATTGGGGTGCACTTAATTTCACCTCAATCATTTTTTTTTTTTTTTTAAATTAGTCATAATGATATTTAAAAATTGAAATAACCCGTGCAGAGATATAGTACATGCTTCTTGGACAAAGATTCTTCAGGTAGACAGAATGATTCACCGTAACAGCAGTGAGTATATTCTAAGCAGCCCCCTACGGATGAGATTCAATGTGTAGCTGTTGCGTTACAAAACATTGTCTCATTCCAAGAAAAATGATGACGAGTAAAGGCTTTGAAGTGCAAGAACTAAGTACATAGAATAAAAAGAAAAATTATTAGCAACACGAGTAACATTCGGACAATACAAAGAGTTCAAAAAAAAAAAAAAAAAAACCCTTAAAAAAAGTGTCACAGAAAAGACTTGGAGAGACCCACAGCTAATTGATCCAATTTGTTTTGTGTGCTTGTACAAAGTAATTTTTTGGTTCGTTGGCTATCAAAATTTTAAAATCTTTGAACTTTCCTTAGTCTTTGCTGGTACAAATAGTTAAAGTTCAAATGAGACAGACCGATTGAGGGACCATATCATTCAATGTGTTCTACAGTTTCAAAGAAAACAAATACAACCTCTTATGAAGGAATTAATATTGATGGTGCTGATAAATGCACATTAATATTTGAATAAAATACATCTTAAATTGTAAAGTCAATTTATTTCGTAAGGCCGGCGGTAAGCCAAGTCTCAGAACACTTAAAACAGGCCCCTTCCTAGAAGCGTTGAAAATCGAACGAACCAATTTGATTCTGGTCATTTTACATTGATAAGTCAACCATCACACCAGTTTACAACTGAAATTATTCATACAAAATGAACACAAGTTGGTGATCATAAGATCATGGCCAAGGTGACGTCATGACTATGCATCATGCAGAGTATTACCATCAAAGGGTGGAAGAAGAAAATAAGAAAGCTGCGCTGTACTGATGGTGGGTCCAATCAGGCGTGGTACACGTCTACAGCTGCTCTCTGATTGGATGTGCATAGTGTTGCACCAGACAGCATAGCTCCAGGAGGGAAACTATGCTCCATGTGAGATTTTTCCCTCTACGTGAGAGTACTCTAGGTAATGCAGTCATGGCATCATCTTGGCTACGATTGTATGATCACCAACTTGTGTTTATTGACTGGTGTGTCTCACAGCTTTTGTTCTTTGACATATAAAATACTTAACTACTTAATTCCATTAAATCACCTCGATTGAATGGAAAAACTGAAACATCTTAAAATAATGGACGTATTTTGTTCGGTGCAACAATTGTTTTCTGTTGAAAATTTTGTGATATTTGTGTCACTCGCACATGACCAATGAGAGCGGAGAAGTTATGAATGCGGTTAAAAATCCTGTTAACAAATGTCACACTTTTGTCATGACGTGTTTCAAGCGTATTATGATGGTTCTGTAACAATGTTGCGATAATATTGCTAGATTGTGCAAAAATGATTCAAGTTAAAATAGGGCACATCCCCTTATCAGAATCTGAATCCAAACAAAATATGATTGTTACGAACTGTTCTGACTTGTTACATCAAACAAAATACATCTATACAAACTAATAGAAATTTACCACCGGCCACTAACTTTCGTTTGTAAAATATTATGCAATAATTTCAGTAAAAAGAGTTTTGAACGGATGACAAGAAGTTTTCAAGGTTCCTTCATTTCGTGTCAATTTAAAAGTCTTTTGGTAAAAAATGAGAATCAATGACAGCCACAGCTTTTTACGACCATATTATGGTACTTTTTCAGAGTGACACTGTACGGATCTGTGTGGTACAGGACGTAGATTGACTGTAATTTTGTTGGAGCACAACACGGTTTCGGCACACTTGAAGGAGACATGAGGTGCACTAAAGTTTGCACTATTGCATGGTTTGTTGCGTTCATGTGAGCATTAAGTGGGAAATTGCATTCTCCGCTACAATAGGAGGCCCCATACCCGTCCGGTGAGATGATCCAATCCTAAAATTTAAAAAAAAATAGTTACATGCTGAACTAAAGTCAGAAAAAAGTAAACAACTACCTGATAATAATGACACTTAGCAGAGATTAACTGAATATCAAATGAGGTGTAAATGGATGAAGATGCTAGATTTTGGTATTTTATGGTTATATAACAAATAAAATTAATTCCTTTGTGGAACAATGGGGCAACAATGTTCATTGAATCGGCTCGTGCTATAACGTCCATACAGGGTTTCATAATTGCATTGGTTTCTTTTGCCCCTCTACACTGATGATAAGATTGATCTCTTTAGTAAAAGTTTAATTGTACGTAGGGGATTTTTTATAAAACTGTTCTACATTCCGAACGTCTTAGACTATCTTGTGTCTGTAAGTTACAATGAAAGTGTCCCATCAAATTCTGCAACACTGTACAAGACATTGAAAATGTTTACAGCAACCAATACAATTTAGAGTCTGAATCCTACTAAAGAGTCTGATATATCCATTTCTTTTCATATCTTTTGCATAAAATTACTTCAGGACAAATATTAGTAAAATTATATGTCGACAACTTTTCGTCCAGAGTATACAGAAAATAAAGTAGCTGAGGTAACATTCTGGATGTTAAAGATTTGTGCAACACTTGAAGAATGTATTTAAGTATGGACACCCTGGCTGTAAATATAATTTAGTATTTAGCATTCGTATCAACATTCAAGAGTTGTAACGCAGATTTTTAACATCTGAGATGTTACTTCAGCAACTTTTTTCCCCCTTTAGTTCTTATCTGGCCCCACTTCCATTGTTGAAATTCTTCTCTACCTAGGAAAAGATGCAGCTGCCATTTGCTGCATTTAAGGCCTTTAGACTAGAAGTTGGAAGGGAAAATCTTCCTCCCGTCAAAATTTACTTGTAGAAGTAAAATATCTTTTTCAGATTCATCCTGTAAGAGCCCTGTATAAGGCTGCTATCAGATGTTTTCTAGCCTCCCAACCAATTTTCAGGTACGGTTGGTCTAGGAAGTATTGATTCTTCTCCATGGTTATGACCCAGTCATTAGTGATTGCAAGATTCCAGCAGGGGTTTTTTTTTCATTGTATTCCACCTTTTTATTCATTTGAAATCAGTAGCCAGTGATGTGTTAGTGATTAGTAGATGTTTCATAAATTCCCTGACTTTCCTTGGTCGTCACAAATTTCCAGACTTTTACTGATTTTCTTGGTGTTCCAGACCACCCTGAGACCCCTGGCAACCCTGAGATCTCCCAATCCTCTTTTTTCTACTGCAGAATAAAGAGACTGCACATTTGTCCATGACAGTAACTTTTTTCTACTATGCAGATCCTTGAAGAAATTCAGTTTTCCTTGAATTTTGTTAGTGCAGCATGGATTAATGGTATTTAACTAAAGTCAGCGTTCATTATGAATTATGATACAATAGATTCTACTATTTTTGGTCTAATTTTCTTTACCGTGATTCAAATAAATTATTCAAAAAATTACAAAACAATCGTTTGAAGTAAACTTACCTGCCAAGCCAAATCTTGAAAGCTGACATACAACGTCTGCAACTGACAACTTCTAGCTGAAAGGTGTTGAGCAGTGCCTGTGCAAAAAGAACAAAAAAGTTTTGTATTAAAAGAGTGAAACTACATATTCATATTTAAGAAAATCACGCAGTCCCGTGCATAAAGCAAAAGGGAAATTTTAACTACCTAGCCACTTGAAACGTAATTGGTGAAACATGATAGGCGATGCTTTGGTAGATAAGTTGAATGGTAGATGTGAAGATTTACAACTTTGTCCATGAATGGTGGAGAATTTTCCTTTTTCAGTGTTTACAGGAAACTTCAAATTTTGTTTACAGGTGAACTTCTAAGTTTTTTGGCACTAAACTATTTAATATTCTCCGCATGAATTTGATTGGAGTTGTGAAATGTCAATGGTACTAATAAATCTTCCACTAATTAGAAAATGATTATAGAAATTATTGGAGGTAAGAGCTCACTGTGGCCTAAAAATCATTGAAGAACCCTCAAAAGTTCCAAAATGTTGCTATTAAGTTGCTGAAAAATCTGAACTGACATGTAAAACTGCCCAGCAGGCCGATTGTTGAAATAAGTTTGTCGGGCGGACATAGGTTGAACAGCGGATCGTGATTGGTCGGCTATGCCTTATTGCTACTTTTTCGTCCCTTTGTCGGGTGAAATTCAGGACAAGTTAAAGGCACCTCTTCAGTTCCTGACAGTATGTCGTCTATTGCACCTGACAAAGGCATGACAAAGCAGTGATAAGACATAGCCAACCAAACACGCTCCGCCGTTTAACCTGTGTCTGTCAAAGAAACAAGAAATGTCAATAGTCGGCCCGCTGGCAATGATGATGGGTGGGCAGGGTGGGGCAGCTGGAGAAAGAAAGTGGCCCAAAGCCACAAGCAAATTGCCCAAGCAATGGTGGAATAAGTGTTCTGGATTAGGAGAGGTGTAGATAAGTGCAAGACAGGCAAGAGGCAGGGAGGGGAAGAAATGACTCTGTGTAGATGTCGATAGGAATAAAGGGTGAAGCAAGGCTGTCAAATGAAAAGGGAAAGGACCAGTTACAGTGCTAAGGAAGGACACCGTATGAACATTTAAGAGTTGCCAAATTTATTTTAATGAAATGTTTATTCTTGAGGAAAATTATGAATATTTTACCTTTAAATTTTCAGGAACTTTAGATCAAAGTACGAACAAAATTCTCTGAGAAATTGGCAGAAAAATATTTAAAATTTTACTGAAAATGAGTGATTTGCCAGAGGAAATTTGGCAATGCCTGAGGGTTCATACGGCATTTTTCCTTGGCACAGCAGTATTCTGCTCATGATTTTACATAGTACATTAAGATTTTAATTTTCAAGAATATCAGAAATTTTACTTAGAAGAGGATTGTGAGGATAAGAGCTTTCATCATTTGACTTCTTCCGTCTTCGCCTTTCTGCCTCTCGAGTTCGCCGGCTCCGGACACGCTTTTCGGGATTCTTGGCTTTGAAAAACGCTACCATGAATGGTTGCCTTTCTTCACTTCCAGGAGTGGCTGTTGTGACCAGACCTGCCTCTTCCGTTCGCATTTCATGAGCTACATCAAAAAGTTTATTTTACAATTAATTTAGCCACAAATAAAACAAAGTTACAGGTGGAAAAATAATTTTTGTTGAAGCATAATGCCAAGTACGTTCATACTAAATACGTAGGTCATTCTAAAACAGGCCACACATTCTGATTATCAAAAAGTGCTGAAAAACAATTTTTTGGAATAATAAAAAGTGGAATCTGAAAATTATTTTCGAAATGCATTTTTCATGTTTGCACTGAAAGTTGAGCTTCGTCTCCGAGGACAAAAAATAGTCATTCTTTTTCAGTCTTGGAATTTTTTCTGACCTAATCTTTCTATACTTCATGAGAAGTTATTTAAGAGATGTTTTCAAAAACTCACAAATGAGTTTGCAATTCTCACTCAGAGAGGAAAATTCTTTAAAAGGAGTCCTTTAAATGTATGAACTGTAGGTATTTCAATTTCAGTTTTCTAGTCCACAGAAACGCTGTACCTATCAGTGGCATGACATGCTTTGCGATACATTGATTATTATGGCATTTAACCCTATGAAAAAGGATCAATAAACAGGGTGTTCACAGCGAACACCTCAATAATCGATTCTTTACCATAGGTTTAAATGGCAGAACAATCAATACATCGCAATTCACGCCACGCCACTGGTGGCTATTATCACCACTAAAATCCCCAGGCATTCTGAGTAAAATTTTGGTTTTGTTCACAAATTTGTTTTTCCTTTGGTTTCATATATCAGGGTTTCTAAACTGTTTGGTGTATTGCTCTTCATCTATGAATTCTCACAGGCCATGCAGCACCCACTTTCAATGATTGCAAATTCTCATTTTCAAACCATCATTTCTACTTCTTTATAATGTGGAGCAAAACACTTGCACCAAAATTAGTTTATTAATTCCTGACTAGTAACTTATATCAATTTATATTCAGTTGTTTTCTGTTGAGAGCAAATCATACCATCCAGATTTTGAAGTTTTTTGTTACTGTTAAGTCACTTGTACGGATAGTTTAATGTTCAAAGCAGTTTTATTTGTTGCCTGCTGAAGTGTCCCTACCCCCTCTCGGAAAAAGACATGAAAAAAAAGGCGGGGGTATTCAATAGCAAGGCTAAAAACCCAGCCAACAAAAACGTTCTGCGGTACATAAGCTGCAGGACACCGTGCGAATCTCAAAGCCATAAAAGAATGCATTAACCTGTTCACCTCACATGATGAGTTTGCTTGTTAACGCACGCCTAGGACATATCTCAGCTGGCGAGTTAACTAGCGCCATCTATCGGCGTTGCAACGCGTGAGATGCAATCTATCCGAAAAGCGGAAAAAAACACGACCAAAACAATCGCGTAGCAACGCCGACAGATAGCACGAATTAACTCATCAACTAAGATATGTCTCAGGCGCGCGCTGACAAGTATACTCGTTAAATGAGGCGAATGGGTTAATTAGAAGTTCAATAGTAGCATGGCAACTATTTTTTCACAGTTAAAATTTGTGTGTATGCTTAAATAATGGGAATACTAAATCAGACAGACTTACCATTTCTAGTGTTCAGATGAACCGACAAATACAGACCCTTGTTAGAGGAAGGAATTGCTACCCAAGAGGCGAAAGCTCTCGTGACATTGAAAAGTAACCAACCTTCATTGCTGCTTGTAGTGTTTACAGAATCAACCACCTCCAATTCCCGCTCTCTAGATGCGAAAATAAAATTAATTTGTGAAAAAAAGAAAATAATAATCAAACTCAGACTAACGCCAATTCAAGGAAAATTGATCACTTCCTATTCATGATGGTAGAATGAAAGTAATACAAAGTTTTCTGAGTAGTTTTTGTGCTGACAATGTACAAAATGGAACCAAGAGCATTCCAATGTTGCTAGGACTGTACAACTTATGTGGTTGCAATAAAATTACTGAAATTATGAAAAAAATGAAATCTACAACGGTAACTTGTGTCTTCAATTTATAGATTATTGTGAGTAAAAATATAAAACTTTTTTAGATGATCAGTTTATATTGCAAGGTAAAAAAAAGTTGCACAATGTTAGCAATATTGGAACGCTCTTGATTCCTTTTTGCAAAATGCAGTCCAAATAATCCCTTTACTTACAGAATTTGAAGAACAGTCTCTGCGATAAAAAAATCTGGCAACCTCAATCTTGACGCTTTGGCTCAGCTATAGCAAATTACTTACATTTTGAAAAACACATGGTGGGAAATGAACATTCTTTAATTGAGAAGCTTGCTGAAACCGTTGTAGTGCATGATTTGACTCACGTAGAGCTTTGAGTTTCTTGTGAGCGGGCAGTTCAAATTCCTTGTAACCAATGTGAAATAAAAATGTTAATACCTCCGTTAGGAGTTGGTTTCAGTAATTTTCGTTGCGCGAATCGTGTTCTACGTGAAATTCTGGTTAAGAAACATGTACCTATCAGAATGATTAAATTCGTACCTTGTCTAGTAGCCCGTTCTACTACTGCTGATAAGTCTCTCTTATAGCGCTTCTGTGAGCTCTACGACACCCAACTGCCACTGACAGCGATCTCACCAGAGCTCCACCAAATAATTACAAATAATATCAAATAATTCTACTGGTGCTTATTTTAACTCAAGTTATAGTCACTCTGCTTTAGTTTGCAGGTGGTAGTTTTCCTCCTTACTTGGAGCTCCTCATCGTTCAAATTTTGAGCAATAATTTCAAAAAGTTCACAATAAAGTTTTTTTCTCTCAGAATAGTCTTGGAGAAAACACAGCTTGCATGGCAAGATCACAACAGTGATCTGATAATATTTTCGCTACCTTTTATGTGAGGAAAGAAGGTATTTACACTTACCCATCAGTGTCAAGAACTTGATAAAGTGTGACGACCAAACCAGTGACAGGTTTTATCGATACATTGGTCATTTGATAAATCCTCAACTCCACGCCGACAATGGTTTCACCCGCAGGGACCTCTGATACATCAAACCATAGACGTTTACCTCTTTCATGGCGCACACCACTCACATGATGATCTGGAAAGTATGAAAATGAGAAAACATGAAAAAGACAGAAGGAATGCCTGTAGAACTAATTATTCTTAAGTGAGAATTATTTCAATGCTTCATTAAAATACACTTCAAGATTTCTATACAATACGCGGAAATATCATGCACATGGGCTAGAGATACGGTTCTTTGAATATATTTGGGAGAAGCAAATATGACTACGCATTGATGTGTTGATGATTTCCTCTAGCTCAAACTGCCGGATGGGTGAAGAACATTTTGAGAGGAAGAGCAGCACCCTGACTCCACTAATGCTATCATGCAACTGAATGACTACCTTGGTTCTGATAGTTTAGTTGGAGCGTATTTATCATAGACATCCAACACAATCGTGCGGCAGGATCTTCCAGAGAAATGATAGGTAACCAGCCTGGATTGCAGGTAGTACCAAAAAATTTGAGGAATCAGGGGTACCTTTGAGCAAAATGGACGTGCAGCCGCACTCTTACAATGGGCGTCATGCAGCACTATATTTATAGTGGGCTGCATCAACTCAGGTGAAGGCTCGTCTTTAACCCCCAACCTGTCTCGCCTATCCTGCTTATAGTCAGGTCTGGCGCGCGGTCTAGATTGTGTTGTAAGTCTATGTATGGTATTAATGACATGTCCTTCCTCCTGCCATACTAACTGTACAATATTATATGAGGATAATGGTATACACCAAGTCAGAGCTGTTTCTAGTTTCATCTTCTACGATGCTTGCCGCTAGAACAAAACTAGTGATACTTAGATAATATTACGACTGAGTGTAATACAAAAAATTCCTTACTTACATAAACTAGAGAAACTCATGATCACGTCACTTTCATCAATTGACTGTAAGTCTCTGCCTCCAAGATTGAATTCGCTGCGTGTACTCCGTGACCTAGGATTGTCCAGCATAGACTTGTAAACATCAAGAAGAAATCTGGGTGCTGAGCCACCTTTCAGTGTAGAGTTTGTTACATGGCGTGGTCTCGCGGATAATCCAAGAAGATTCAATATTTCATGCTCTACCTCACGTTTTTCTTGTCTCGACAAGGGATAAACAGTGGTTTGGTCAAAACCATTGTCCATGTACAAGGCAGTTCTTGGGTCTTTGCAGTCCATCAGCACAAAAAATGACAAAATTAAGAATAACTTGGCACAAATCATGATTGAATATGGAGTACCATGGACACAGAACTAGGATAAAGTACGATTAAATGCTTTCAATAGCACTACAAATAAATTATAGGAAATTCATGAATAGAAACCAACACCACACTTGCACTTGCAAATTAAAAGTCACCGACTAAGCAACAAAAACCATGTTTACATCAGCGCTAGAGACATCGATGCGTTGTTCGACGTGTGACGTGTGAGCTTTCTTTGCCGTCCTAATACATGGTGATCTCGACGAAGGCTGGCGACCGCCAGCAACGAAGACTTCCGAATATGGACTTGTTTAGAAAAAGTAAGATATTTTTTATTTAAATTTTCACCTTTTAGCGCTTTCTCGCCCTCCTCCCCTCCTCATTCACCGTGCTTAATTCCCGGCTCGGGATTCCTAAATGTTGTCGTCAAAAAAAAAAAAAAAATTCCCTCATGCATCACAACTAGCGCCAAAAGACCAATTTTTAGACGCGGCGCTTGCGAGGCCTCTAACCATATTATAACATTTTTTTTTTTCAAAATTATGATCCTTGATTAGGGCGCATCAAGCATATTTTCAGCAAAATTTAACTTTAACCCCATAACTTACTCTATCGATGGCGAAAGTGCAGAAGTGCGTAACTACCTCAATTTTTGACGGCTTTGAGTTAACTGCATTCAGGGCCGGATTAAAGGGGTGGCCACATGGGCCGCGGCCCATGACGGCAAAATTAGGGGGTGGCAAATTTCGCAATTTTTTTAAATGCAGGCACAAAAAAATCGGATTCAGAAAAAAATTACAATCAAGAAAAGGTGACAAAAGCTCTCATTTCCTGAGAGTTCATTAATTTCTAATTTTGTCGCATTTCGGTTATGCGAGAGACTGCGCACCTTTAATTAGTTGAGTTAAGAGAGAAACCAAACACGTAATTTGACCTGGAGCGGCGCGGCCCAAAGAGAAATGATGACGAGGACTTGAGATGAAAAGGAGAAGCCCTCGACGCGGCGGTCGGCACGTAACACATATTGGCGCCCGCGAGACTGCATGAATACTTCACGCATTGCGTCAAACACAGTACGGTAGACAGCGGTCGGCGCGGCGTGAAACGCACAGTGCCTACAAGACTACATGAATACTTCACGCATTGCGCCAAACCCAGTGTGGTCAGCGCGGCACGGCGGTGGAAGTTAAAATTATTAAACCACATTTATGTTTGTTCTTTCTTATTTTTTTAGTTCATTTCTTACAAATGGACGTATTTCTGTCAATCGGAACTAAGCTCCATCGGAGGAGGAAGGTAGAGGGGGACTTGGATTGGCTCATTCCGTCCTGTACTCGCAATGCTTTTCCATGGCGCTCAGTTCCGTTTGACAGAACGCGCTATCCGGCATTCTAAATTCCTCAAAAGGAACTCAATTTGGCGCTTAGTTCCGTTTAATAGAAATACGTCCAAATGAAAGGCCTTGTCCCCACAGAGATAGGCTTACGGAACTGAACTTTCGCGCGAAGTTCCGTGAACTTTTGCTAGTAGTGTTGACAGGGCTTAGGTACGCAAAAAATGTGTCCAACACGAGTGAACGCGTCTTATGCACCCTTCTCCCTCCGGTACGTTCACTAACTTGATGGTTTTCATTGATGTTTCAAAATGAATGAGAAGAGGGCGGCAAAATACAGGCGGCCCATGGGCGGCAAATAGGTAATTCCGGCCATGGCTGCATTGTTGTTGCATCATCTATCTGGCAGCCCCTGGGGGTTAGGCTCCTTAGATGTCAAGGGGGCCAGCCCCCGGGGGTTGGGCTCCTTCGATGTCAGGTGGGTCGACCCCGAGGGGTTAGGCTCACTGTATGCCACGGAGGGCAGGTCCTGGGGGTTGGGCTTCTTGGATGTCCTCTGGGGCAGCTCCCAGGGGTTGGGCTGCTTGGATGCCAAGTGGAGCAGCCCCTGGGGGATTGGGCTCCTTTATTGCCAAGGGGGACAGCCCTTTGGGCCCCGAGGTTGGGCTCCTTGGATGTCTGGACTAGCCCTTGAAGCACCACTACAAATAAGACAAACAAAACTAACACAATATGGAAATAGAGCAAATGGAAAGACGCCGCAGAGATACAACTATTCGTGCTTGATGGATGTCTGTGTTGCATCTGCAAAATTGAAGGCGCGATGGCGCGAGCTGTGAATTTACGATGTTCCACAGCTCCGCTTTGTTCTGCCAATGAGGTGTCGCATGTCGTGAGCAAATTAAGAAAGGAGGGTCGATTATTACGGCTCTCCTATTTACGGCTGTGTTGCTCATACAGTCTTTAAAGCACTGCTACAAATACAAATAACACAAACTGAAACAAACACAGTATGGAAATAGAGCAAAGAAAAAGGAGGCGCTTTGATGACGGCGCAGAGATACAACTATTCGTACATGATGGATGTCCGTGTTGCAACTGCAAAATTGAAGGCGCGATGACGCTAGGCGTGAACTCGCAATGCTCCGTTCTATGCTGCCAATGAAGTGTGGCTCAGATTCGAGAGAAAAATGTAAAAAACTAAGCCCGATTACGTCATCCACTCTAACGTTCCTCAATTTTTTCTTCTTTTTTCAATTTGAAGTTTGATTCTTTTTTTAATGTACAAATATTTACAGACCTATATCTACGGCTCGCGTGTACCGCAGTCCCTTACAACTCGCAAAGCGCGTTTTTGAAACAAGTCTCCTGTCAATTTGACCGGGCTTCAGCATCCAAGGGTCAATGAAAATATCATTAAAATATGACTGCACCTAGTTCGCCAAAAGAAGCCTTTCACAATCAGTCAGAGAAAATCAATAAAATTTAGTTATGTTTAATCTTGCAAAATTAGGCTCCAATTGTTCGGTGACGTCCCAAAACATTGTCATTGCCAACAAAATGATTGATGAATGGGACCTCCTGCAGCCTGCTTTAGATTTCTGGTGCATTTAATGTACATCGACGACGCGACGTAAGTCCGCAATCACATATCTCGTTTGCGGTGTCTGAAAAGCTCCGCCTCCATGTTATTTTTTTAAGGAGAATAAATTGACATCATTCCTTGAAGTTGAAGTTTATGCAGACTTTTCTTCGCACTGAGAAGAAAAAATACGGCAGTTTTAAAGAAATGCCGTTGAGTAGTTTTCCGTTTGAAAAATAAAGTATGACAGGAAATCTGCAACATTGCAAACCGAGTTATGTGATTGCCGACTTACACCGTCGACATGTATTCCTAACTCTTTGTTTTTATTTCTTACTGAACACCTTCTCTCTGCTCCAAAATTTCATCTTGTACTTTCTAGATTGAATGTTTCATTTTTCGATGAGGTTAAACAGATCTTTTAAAGGAATGGAAGAGATGCTGTTCAGGAATGAGCGTCCCGCTACGGGAAGATGGCACCGTTTATACTCTGTGTTTTGCTGATGATCAGGTGGTAATAGCTCAGGACGAAGAAGATGCGAATTACATGACGCGCAAGTTAGTGGAAGTATACCGTAAGTGGGGGATGGAAGTTAAGGTGGTAAAGACGGAGAAGTTGGTTATGTGGTGATCAGCAAAGCATTGAACTGAAGGATGGTCGGAGAATTCAGGACTGTGGAGAGTATGAATATTTAGGAGTGCGGTTAAATAAGGACGGAAAATTGGATCGGGCTATTAAAGATCGGAATGTGCAAGGCAGGAAAGCTACCGCGATGCTAAATGGGGTTCTCTGGGACCAGAGTATCTCTGAGAATACTAAAAGAAAAATTTACATCGTCATCGTGAAGAGTATCATAACTTACGGGAGTGAGGTCTGGCAATGGAAGAAAAGGACTGGAGACATGCTTAGGGCAACTGAGATGGACTTTTGGCGGAGGTCTGCTGGTATCTCGAGAAGAGAGCGTATCCCCAATGTAAAAGTGCGAGAGATAATGGGTGTGGAGAGGGACATCGTGCACGATATCAGGTCCAAGCAGTTGGTCTGGTATGGACATGAGCGAAGGATGGCAGACGATCGATTGCCCAAGCAGGTTTTCGATTGGGTTCCTACCGGAAGGCGACGGCGTGGACGTCCTGTGAAATGTTGGCGACAAGGGGTTCAGGAGGAGATCAGAAGGTGCCAATTGCCTGATGGTCTCTGGGAGGATGGGAGGCAATGGCGATTGGGCGCCGTAGAGCGCGAGGCTGCACTATAAAAGCGGCTTAATGTATGCGTAAAAAGAACTTTTTGGCGTGCATATATATGTCTCGAGTTTATGAACCCGAAAATGATGCATCATTTTCCGACTTATAGTTTTTAAATGCAGTATTAAAGGTTGCAGGCTTTGGCTCGATTCTTCTGAAAATAATGATGCATGAATGCGTCTGGTACCTAGCTTTGATTTGATTTGATTTTTTTCATTTCACAAGTCTTCCGATGACTTAAAAGTGTTCAATTTTGCAATTTTTGCTCTGTGCGATTACTTAATAAACTTCGAACCTGAAAATAGCGTAAAATTGTGCTGATTTGCCAGAAATTTCTGGACTGCCTTTCACGTTGCGGTGCTTCCCAACTACACACCCCCCCCTCCCCCCGAACAAAATATCACTGTGCGCCCCTTTATCCGGCTAAGGGTTTACGCCCTGAGATGTGAGCCAGTCCGACCCTGTGCCTCACGTATACATGTTACAACGAGGAGTCGAACAGCTGGAAAGGGCGCATTTGGTAAACGAGAAGCGCTCAAAAAGCGCCTTCAATTGAAACGGATGCAACTTTTTCAACTCGATATCTTCTTTCAACGCCGCTACAGTATAGACAAATTACGGCCGGCACCGCGCCATTCACATGCTGAACATAGATAATCCTTGGGTCAAAAGGTTTCACCATTGCTCCCTGGTCCAATTATGTTATTTCAATGAACACTCGTAGATTTTTTCCTCTTCATAAATTTTGAGATGCAATTTTCCGTGGTCTGTTGTCCGTGCACTTCTTTTGAAGGTATGAGTGTAAATAGACTTAATAGGGGTAAATTGACACTAAAATCACGAGATATTGCAAATGTAAATCATACCTTTAGAGCGAAAATTGCAAAGTTTGGAACACAGTTTCGAATTTTTAAGCCTGGAGACAGTTTTTCCATTACCGGAAACAAGCAAACGGCAACTGCAGGCTGTCTTGGTGGTTGCCGGTAA